AATGCCATGTGACTTGAAATATGTTCTAATAATGTATGCATAGATTTGCACATGATGATGCTTAAATTTTGATACTATATCACATGACCTTCATTGCAACTGGAATATGAACCCGCATTTCCAGGCAGGGTGGCTACATTTGTAATGTGGAAACACCGGACCGCGGGTGTGAAAAACATATACAACTATTTTGAAAATTTGCCTGCAAACACGATCCGTGTGTCAAGACACTTCCGATCTTTTCTCAGCCTTTGATTCTTTTATAATGGGATGAGAACCCGAGACCACTGGAGCCAGAAACAAATGAATTTGAAATGTTATCCAGGCTATCGATTGAAAGGAATCAAGGTGACCTAAGTCCGCGCTTTATAAAGGAAGGCTATTAATTCATTTCTGGATTTCTGGATTCAGGTAGAGAACATAAACTTTGAAGATATTGATACTGGGGCAGGATTTCTGTACTGTTCTAACAACACCTTTCATTGTGAATGCAGCAATTTCATACTTAGTGAAGTTATTGCATAAAGAGTCAAAACGTCATGAAACATGTATGCATAATGATAAATAAGGTTTTAATATTCTTGGATTGCAACCATGAGACAAGGCGACCAAGCTTGAAAAGAATTCAATACATAAATATGAAAATAGAGTTGACTTCCCAGAGGAGAGAAATGCTTTTGTTTTTATCATCCAACGTGGCCGCCGTGATGTCAGGTGCATTAAAACCTGCAATGGGACTGTTTCGTAATTTTGCTGACTCAAAGTACACAACACTTGTTTACTGACCTTGTCTATAGAAAAGAAACTGTTTCGCTTTTCACACCATACAGAGAAAATACAATTTCATTCTCTTTTGCCAGGAGGTCATGATTATTTAGGACTTACAATTATAGATTTTCTTATTACTGTTTAATTACTCGTAGAAAGGAAATTCTTGGCGTAGATAAAGACGTAAGCTCAAGCCCTTTCAAAGAGCTTTGTACCTTAAGACTTCAGATTTTATTGAAACAATACTTTTTTTGCTGTACAATAACAAAAGAAAGGTGACTTTGAAGGGAATATATAACCTTATGGTAGAGAAAGAAAAATTTTCAAAAGGGTTTAAAACCAATTCAACAAATTTTTATACAACTTGTCTTTCTTACTAAATACTTGAAATTGACTGGTCCAATAACATTTAAATCCACAATCGCTTACTGTTATATTTTATATTTTATTGTTTATGTAATTGACATGTACCTTGACGTCAGCTTTACGATGCAGAAGGTGTCAATATACCAGTTATTCAAAAAAGAGGATTCATTGGCCAGGGTAATGTAACTTTATTGTGCACTAGATAATTGTATAGTGATAATTTTTCTTCTTTTGGCCCAAAACCCAACAATGAGTCCATTAAAGTGCAGCAACCTTTACAGAACTCTATTAAAACATGAAATTTCGGAGACGTGTCACCATTATCAAGTACAAATCATCCTTTCTTACATCAGCTGCGCATAAATTACGGTGGCATATTGGCCAATACACCTTACAAGTCGTTGCTAACAGAGAACTTTATAAACACAATAGTTCCTCATTCGTTTCTAGATAAATCAAATTGAGTATACACAGCCAAAGCAAACTGATCATGAGGACGGCATGCTTAAGCCTTTACCGAAGTGGGGCGCTCGTGTGATTATCAGTCGCTTTTAGGTCAACGTTTGCCTTTTAAAAAGGTCTCAAGGTGCAGTTAGAAGTGTTTACTCAGTCGAACTGTGGTAGGTCGAATTGTGTATACTACTAAATGGATACAGTGAATAAAATGTTCATGAACCTAATTTGTCTCTCAATCTGATAAAACCAACGGTATCGTAACTAGGGTATAACAGTTATACGATATTGTAATTGGTATTATCACTATGTACACAAGTTATTGGGTATTCATTACTAGTCAGCATCATCACTGTCCTGATCAGCAACTGCCAATGCAGTGTAGAACCGTAAAGCCCTTTCAGATAAATATTTCTGGGCAAGTGTTATACAATTTGGTTGCACATGCTCGCAAACAGGTCTGCAATCTTGTCTCACAGGAACTAGATCCGCTGGAATCAATTACTCACATTGTTTCTTCTTTACAAAAGAGACAATTGTTGGCTTTTCTACTGTATCCATTGTAAACCTGATAAAGGCGGTTTCATTATGCCTGGTAAGCCTTAAGTTTCCTTCTTGATCTGGTATCTCACCATAGCCAAAATTAATAATTGCAATTTCTCTCACTTCAAATTTGTCTCTGTTACTGTCCTCGCTTCTAGCAATGTATTTGTTGTTTAAGTAAGATTTATAGTTCATTATCTGATGAAGGCTTACCCAGTGGCTTCTGACGTCACGTAAATGGCTATTTCGTAGAGAAATTGCCCATTCTTGGGGAACTTTCGATTTTTTCCTGAGTGTTAAAGAATTGCTGAATACACCTGAATCTTCTATCACCTATTGAAAAGGAATGCCTTTCCAACAGAAATTTCAG